CTAAAGCTGTTTCATGTTTTCATATATTATAAAAAATGTTGCAACAAATATACATAAAACTTGGGGTACTCCTCTGATTAATTCTTCAGGATAAACTCAAGAAATAGACTGAGTCAGTGGATATGAATATTTTTACAGCCTTCCTGATACACACTGTTAGACTGTCCTTCAAAATGGTAGCACCAGTTTTATAAAGAATTTAAAAATAAACTGCATAAGTCATCTGCTCCTATCTTTTTATGCAAGAAAGATGGGGTTTACCAAAGAAGATATACAGATGGCCAACAAGCACACGAAAAGATGTTCAAAATCATTAACTATCAGGGAAATGCAAATCAAAACTACAATGAGATATCACCTCACGTCCGTCAGAATGGCTATAATTAACAAGACAGGAAACAACACGTGTTGGAGAGGATGTGGAGAGAAGGGAACTCGCATACACTGCTGGTGGGAGTGCAAACTGGTGCAGCCACTATGGAAAACAGTATGGAGATTCCTCAAGAAATCAAGGATAGAACTACCATATGATCCAGCTATTCCACTGCTGGGTATTTATCCAAAGAACTTGAAAACACCAATGCATAAAGATACATGCACCCCTGTGTTCACTGCAGCGTTATTCACAATAGCCAAGACTTGGAAGCAACCTAAGTGCCCATCAAGGGACGAATGGATAAAGAAGATGTGGTATATATACACAATGGAATACTACTCAGCCATAAGAAACGATGAAATCCAGCCATTTGTGACAACATGGATGAACACTGAGGGTATTATGCAAAGTGAAATAAGTCAGAGGGAGAAGGTCAAATACCATATGATTTCCTTCATTAAGTAGTAGATAACAACAACAATAAACAAACACATAGAGACAGAGATTGGATTGGTGGTTACCAGAGGGGAAGGGGGGAGGGAGGAGGGCCAAAGGGATAATTCGGCACATGTGTGTGGTGATGGGTTGTAATTAGTATTTGGGTGGTGAACATGATGTAATCTATGCAGAAATAGAAGTATAATGATGGGGCCGGCCCTGTGGCTTGGTGGTTAAGTGCGCGCGCTGCGATGCTGGCGGCCCGGGTTCGGATCCCGGGTGCGCATCGAGGCACCACTTCTCTGTCCATCCTGAGGCCGAGTCCCACATACAGCAACTAGAAGGGTGTGCAGCTGTGACATACAACTATCTACTGGGGCTTTGGGGGCAAAAAATAAATAAAATCTTTAAAAAAAAAAAGAAGTATAATGATGTACACCTGAAATTTATACAATGTTACTGCAATAAACAAAAAATTTAAAAAAAAAAAAAGATGGGGTTTGAATAAGAGACTAAATTTCTTAGAAAACAAACAGCAGAATTAGACACAGTAATTAAATCACATAAATTAACTGACAATTAAGTATGGTTTAATAAATAATGGGCTTTATAGCCTGTAAATTTTGTTCTCTGAGTTACTTTTTGGGTTTCTGACATTGAGTTTTGATCATGCTTATATTACAGTCTGTATTCTGATTATAAATCACTGGTGTTTAGAATTCTACCCTAAGTTAACTTTGAATCTAGAATACAGTCCCTAATGGCCACAATAGTGAACGATTTCTATAAATGAATGTTACCTGGGGACAGAAACTCTCTTGAGAGATCTGAAAAATCTAATTAAGAAATGTTTCAAACTAAAAGCACAAATATTGGTTGTCATTTCAAATGCTATCTTCACACTGAAACAAGCAAACAAAAAATACCAAATAAAAAAGGGGGAGAGGAGAAAATTACAGGAAACAATTCTAAAATAAAAGATAAAAAAGCAGAAAGATAAGAAGAAAAGTAGAAAACCTGTTTAAAAGGAACATTAACAGAGGTAACAGCAGAAATTGGAGTCAGCAGGAGGAAGATGGAGAAACTAAGAACAAAGACAATGGACTAAGTAGGTAGAAGACAGTGAATAAATCATCTGATGTTGCAATGCAGTGTTATACTCTCTCCTGTCTACACTATATTCAGCTACCTCAACCAAGGAGGATATAGCTGAGACCTAGAAAGCCAGGGAAACACGGGCTCTCACAACAGCCAAAACTGCCAATCACAAGAGCTCACGTGCTTCTCTCATAACATACAAGTAATCACTTAAGTCCATATGTTAAATAGAATGCTAAGAAGTTTGGTTATGTTTTCTCTGTCAGTAGCATACTAAAAGTAAACCAGAAGCAAAGAGAGATTTCTAGAGACTGGTACGCTGATAACACCAACACATTTAGGGGCCGGCCCGGTGGTGCAAGCAGTTAAGTGCGCGCGCTCCGCTGCAGCGGCCCGGGGTTCGCCGGTTCGGATCCTGGGCGTGCACAAACGCACAGCTTGTCAGGCCATGCTGTGGCGGTGTCCCATATAAAGTGGAGGAAGATGGGCATGGATGTTAGCCCAGGGCCAGTCTCCCTCAGCAAAAAAAGAGGAGGATTGGCAGATGTTAGCAGAGGGCTGATCTTCCTCACAATAAAAAAATAAATAAATAAAAATTAAAAAAAAAAAAACACCAACACATTTAGCAGTGATAAAAGACACACACACACACACACACACACCATCACCACCACCACCACCACTCCCAACACCAAAAAGCTCAAGAACTGAAAAAGCACAGTAGTCTGAAAACTTGAGACAGGACAACCAACCCAGAGCTGCACAATTAGCCATAAATGCATCAGAGAAGGACATTAAGTACGATCAGTGAGCTCTGTTTAAAATGCGATGGACAGACCACATTTAAAGTGATTTTCGCCCTGGATGATTAAAATTAAAAAGTGGAGATAGGCTTCAATACCTGAAAATTTTACTTTTGTTAAATACCTCCTTCTCTAGCCAAGATAATTACGGTACAATAAAAATACTGAAACAGAGCTACAGATGGTAAAGAAACTATAATTTTGAACATGAAGAACATAAAGAAACCATATTTTAAGTCTATCTGAATAATATAAACATGATAATTAGTGACCCAGCATGGCTTGTATCTCATCAATCCATACACGATGTGCCATGACCTGGCATCCTGAGCACAGTGGCATGTCAACATTTGCCTGGGCACGTGTACTTTTGTGACACTTCAATATTGGTCACCTGTGTTCCTCTAAGAAGTTCAAAAGCCACATCAAAAGAAACCTGCTATCACCTGGATTCCTTCCATACTTCACATAGTACTAGAATTTGTACTTTCTCACTAACAGCTACAACAAAAAATTGCAGTAATTTCAGTACTCAATAGACAATTATATCTGTAAAAATTCTGGCACTTACTATATGGCAGGTACCAGCTCTATGTAAATAGAGAAGATTTAATCATAGAAACATAAAGACTCCAGAGTCATTTAGAATGTGCAGTTATATAATCGATTTTCTATTTTTCAACCAGTTTCTCCAGTACTAATAAAGATGGCAATGTATGTTCTCTACCTGGTATCATCATCATTAAAAAACAGACAAAATCCCAACTTTCTTTTTCTTTGTGTTTGAATGAAATATAATTTCATCCATATTACATTATCTTCCTCAGAAAAAACCACGCTAGAATTAAGAAAATATTAACAAATTTTAGACCAAAAGAGTAATATTTTGAGACACCATGTGAAAAAAAACTCAGAATAATATTTAAATAAAACTATAATTTTTACTACCAAAATTTTGCTTTATACTGCAGCTGATTTTGAAATGAAGATAAACCAGATAACAGTGGATCAAACATATTATCTAAAATCTTTCTTTAGAATATCTAAATCTATATCTAGTGAGCCATCTAGCTTTCCAACTTTCAATGTCATGGTAACATGTAAGAAAAAGCACAGAAAACAAATGCACCTTTGAAGAATCTTGCCCAAAGGCTTGTACTTGAATCCGATCAAGGCTTTATATCTTTCAATTAAAAGAAAAAATGTAGGGCACAGAGGAACACCATGGGGATATAATGATCAAAATCCAGTCTACGAGAAATGCTACAGGTAGATGGCCCAGTTTCTTCAACAAATCAATTCAGAGGGTATCTCAACACTTCATTAAAACCCACAGCTTCAGTCTCACCTCCCTGCAACCTGCCAGAGGTCCTTACTCTAAGGGTACTTGTATTATGGCACTCTGATCCTTTCACCGTATCCCACGTGTGACTCCCGTTACAGGACTAGTATAACGGAGTGCAACAAAGTAGCTTAGAGAGGGCTCTGAAGCTAGACAGCCTGAGTTGAAATCCCAGCGTCACCCCTTCAGCTAACTTATCCATAAAATGGAGAATATACCACCTGCTGCTCAAAGACATTTCAACAATTCAGTGAGAAAATAGACGTAAAGCACCTCACACAACGCTTGGCATATCATAGACTATCAAATGAGTGAATAAATGGAAACCATGAGCAGAAAAATTAAACAATTATAAATGTCATCTCCTTTGATTTCATCTAACCACCTTCTTATAGTACCTAGTGAAGAGTAAAATGCCAAACAGTAATAAAAAAATTAAGGAATGATAACTGGCTACCAATTTCCAAATAACTGAGCTTGACTCTGAGGCACTAAGGAACAGTTTAATCACAGAGATACCAGCTGATGAAGAATGGAGTTATTAAGAAAAGGGCTAAATTTGACCAAACCTGGTAAAAGTAACCAAATTTGTTTTCTAACTAAAAGTGATCAACATAATTATTTTCAAGCATAACTTTTAGTAATATGAAAACATTTTTAAAAGAATGTTTTAAATTATCAACATTACTATTCTGAATCTCTTCAGTTTTCTTGCTTTAAACTAAAAAGACACTAACAACAAATTAATTTAACCAACTTTTCCTTCTGAACAGTAGGTGGCATAGCTTACATACTCTGAGCCAGTTGCTGCAAAGTGAGTGATGTGGTAAAAAACAATAAAGTTCAATATAGCATCATCTAAAATTCTGAAAAAATTCATTTAAAACTGTTTGAAAGTCCTAATTTGAAAATAAAATCTTTCAAATAATATGAAAATACTTACATCTCAATTTGTCCAGCATTTTTCCACCACACATGGTTGCTAACATAGCTTTAACTGAAAATACCGTCAACTTGCCTCGGCCCTCACTGCAAAATAAATTATATTAGAAATAATTGCTATCTGGAACCACAAAAGCAATCAAATGTATCACTAAACATTGGGAAACCAGTAATTTGATTCCTACCCTTATATGTTACAATATTACCACATTTAGAAACCTTGGACTTTTGTCCTTTGTAGAGTTATTCAGGCTTCATCTACGCTAGGTGAACAGTGCTAAAACTAACCTGAATTATTTGGAAATGAGTTTAGAAACATTCTGTAAAGCAACTTCTACTGGCTGTGTAGGCAGAAGCCAAATGGATGAACCAGAAGTAAATTTCCTATCAACTTAGCCCATTAAACCCACACCTGAGGTGTTTTTAAGTATTCAAAATTGAGGCATCACCTGGTTTGAATAATAATTCAGAAATGTGTCTTTCCATCAGGATGCTACAACAGTTTACTGTTATGTACTAAATCAACAGGGTGCACACTGCTATAAAGATTTTACAGTACATTCATCTTTGTTTTTACCATGACAACTTTTATGTTACTATGTGTTTATTCTACAAAGCTCAATCATATCTGTCTCAGATGTTCCCATGCCACCACCGTGAGAAAGGTGAAGGGAAAGAGATAGATACTAATTTCTTTTTCAGAAACTGGAAAGACGAAATGTAGAAGAACATAAATGAATTACCCAAAGTAATACTGCACACCACCAGCAGAGCCAAGACAATATCAGCAAGGCCCCCTGACTCAACACATCCACTACTCCATCCATTCAACTCTGCCCCGGTTTCACAGCAGATGAAAACTTCACTAACTGTTTTTTTTTTTAAGTCATCACATGTAAATTAACAATAGGCTTTCGTGTTAATTTTATAAAGCTTATGCTTACAAAGTTTCATAGTAACAGAGTAAAATTCCTTTGCAATAATGAGAACTACATCATCTTGGTTTTGAAAAGCAAGTGTCATACGATTTATCTTTACTAACGGTCCTAATAGAGTTCTCCAATTTTCCAAAACTTCTTTGTATACAGTAAGATCACACCTGAAAAAAGGCAAATGGCCTATAAGCCAGAAGGCTCTCAGTGAAAACATCACGAGGATATATCAATGTTTGTTATGTCTGATTTCTAACTACATCTTATTAAGTTTATTTATAAGATAAAATAGAAATCCCTGCAATTACCTAAAATTAGGATGGCGTTTTAAAAATATATAGTTCTTCAGAAATACAGACACCAGTCCACATCTTATACAGCACCTGGCAATATAAAGACTATTCCTATGTCAAATATTCATAGCATCATATGAGCAACATTAATGGCTATAAAGAGCATCAACTAGGTTAGAAGGAATGGATTTCTAAGACTGACACAGAACTTTTACAGTGCACATTTCTTTTTGGTCACCAACCATCCAAATGCAGAGTCTACACTTAAGCACACCCTCATTATGAGACAACTACACTTCTCACTACCAAAGTACAAAGAAAGAAAAAAAAAACCCAGATATTTGCTTTCCCATCTTTCCTCAAAACTAAGATATGCACGTAACACGAACTCCACGGACAAGATGCAGCTACCCTAGACTTCCACGAGAAAACAATTCACTTTCTAAAAGTAGGAGCTCCAAAGAATCCACCTGGGGAGGATGGTAGCACTAAGGGCAGTCACATGCAGGGTCCTGAGGCAACAGGGATACAGATTCCTTGGCAGCACCCACAGCCCAGCATCGCTGGTATTTGGGGCACCAGCAGCAATATCTGTGCCCAGACAGGTGGCAGAGGTGCTTCGAGACCAGTTCTGTGGTACACTTTGAGCTTCGTTCTTGGCGGTGTGGTCTTCAAGCATACTTTCCCAACCCTCCCAGAGAGTCTGTGGGGCATACGTATTCCTTTAATAAATTGGCCAGAGATGGTTTCTATTGCTTACAATTAAGAATGCTGATGGATGCAGCTTGTATCCCAAAGTCAAGCAGCCCAGAGAGATGAAGCAATAAAAGAAAACATTCCTGACGTCAGAGAGTGAGCATGCCTGATGATCAGGAGAGCAGGAACGAGGAGGAAGTGCTCCCCAACAGCAGAGTTGAGCCTTGCTGCACAGCTAAGGACATTTTTTAAGGTAAACTTGCTCAAAATATTTTTTGCAGACATAGATTTCATGATGCAAGAATATCCAGGAAATTCCACAGGGGAAAGTACAAATTAATCTTAGAAGAGATTTCCATAAAAATCACGATCATTTCACGTATTTTTCTGTAGGTGTTTTCTATTTCTCGATAAAAACTGTTTAAAAATGAATCCTAGGGGGCCGGCCCTGTGGCTTGGTGGTTAAGTGCGCGCGCTGCAATGCTGGTGGCCCGGGTTCGGATCCCGGGTGCGCATCGAGGCGCCACTTCTCTGTCCATCCTGAGGCCGAGTCCCACATACAGCAACTAGAAGGATGTGCAGCTATGACATACAACTATCTACTGGGGCTTTGGGGGG